AGGAGGAGACGGAAGTGAGCGCCAGAGCGCGTAGGGATTCCGCCGTGTAGTCGGCGAAGGTTTTGGTCCGTAGGGACGAAGCCGGAGATGAAGAGGATTTCCACCTGAGGGGTGAAGGCTCGAGCTACAGGCAAGAGAGTGTGTTTACCGCTATCGAGCGAAGACGCGTGGCGACAGCCGCGTGTGTGAAGCCGACGTGTTCGGGCGAAGAAGTTTGAAGCTTGGAGAGTGGCCAATTGAAGACGCGAGGTTTCCTGGAAGAGAAACTTCGAGGGCGCGGAACGACAACAACGCTGGACTTTGAGTGAGTGATTCTCGGAAGAGTATCATTCAGACTTTTGTTCCAAGGACTTTGGACTGAATAGGTTTTAGATCTCTTTAGTCTTTAAGTGTCTTGGTTGTTCAATGCATGCGACTGCATTGTAGTGCGTATTGTTGTCTGTGTCCGTTGGTTCAAGTGTGGTTGACTGTACTGTGTAGTACGTTGTTTGTTTGGTGACGTATTGTATGTAACTATTGTGGAGTGTGCATTCTTGTGTTTGTTTTCGATCTGCCATTTTTGAGAATATAGTATTTGTTTTGTTTATCAACTCTCGGCTCTGACTTGTTCTTTGGGCCACAGCCGGCGTCCGCTGGCGCGCCAAAAAGGACCAATTCTAAATTGTCCACGCTTTCGTGGTGCGGTTCGGGGGGCCGATACTTCGGCTCTTGGAATTAGCCCGGCGATCGCCTCCCTAATTAACGGGGCAGGTGTGACACCGGCTGATCCATCAAAATTTATATTTTTGCTATTCGATCAGAGCCATGTGCCCAAAAACATCCGGTCTCAATTTATGACCCAGAAGCTTGGTGAAAACGGGGAGTTTCCTTGAAGTAAATAAAGATGCTGTACAAAATGCAACAGCACTCAACAATGAGGCCAATCGGGTTTCTCACGACAAAGCATGTTTTCCTGTCAAATATTGAAAACATGAAAAACACGAGGCTCGAGTATATGCGTTGCAGAGTGGTGGGGGTATTGCGTGAATGCTGTGTAATTAGGTACGATTTGGGAATGCTTAATTGTTATTTTATCTTTACTGTTCGTATTTATTGAATGAAGGAGAAATCTTGCCTTGAACACGTAGTGGGACACTGATGTTGGGTTGTGCGCCACTGCTGGTTGAAAATACTGTTGCTTCCATCGCATCTACTAGTGTTAAAGCGTCAAGTCAAGCGAAAGCCAAGTAAAGATGCCCTTATCTGAATTGTGAATGCCCGATCCAGTGTGGCCACTAAACGGTTATGCCGCGCGAGCAACCATTATTTACAAACAGACGCTGCCTGCGTCGGCCTTGCGAGGGGGGAGTAGCAACAGTTGGCACGAGGCGCGAGCATGCACAGTAAGGGTGTAGACACCATCGCCGACACCAGATTTGAGAGTAGGTGTGACGATAAAATGCTCCGCACTTAAAAGTAGCTTGCATCTAGCCTGCACCAGGAATTCAGATACAGATGGCTGCGCATACGCCAAATAGGAGTAATGGGATGCTTCTGACAATGTACTCTCGCTGCTTACGTCACGTATTTAGGCGTACTTAAGTACACTGTCCCTTTCTTATGGCTTTTATTGTGAACAAGGCTTATTCCCATATTGGGTGCCGAAACATCAATAAACTTAGTGTTCTATGAGTCAGTGTATTGTTTGCGTTGACACTACGAAGCAACAATTATGCACTTTTTTTTTCACACCTTTTCTAGCAGCTCACTGTAGTTGCAGTTGGAAGAGTGACTTATTAAGCTTTGATCAATGGTAATGCTTATTTTTGTGACGGCCGCACAGAACTGCTGTCAGTTTACATGACTGGCCAGGTTTTTCGAAAATTCCCTGACTTTTCCAGTATTTTTCCAGATGGGTCCAAATTCCCCGACTTTTACAGGTTTTCCCTGTTGATAGACACCCTGAATTACAAGCTACTGACTTGAATGCTGAAGGAATTGAACGGTTAAAAGAGACTCAGCGGTTTGCTACGAGTGTCAACACGGACTATCTGCTGAATCTACAATGTATGGTTTTGCTGCATAGGTAAAGTGGGTTTATGAGCTGGATTTTCGCATTTGTAAGAGACATTAAAACAAAGGAAAGGACCTCAGAACCACTGACAGCAACAGAGCTTGATCATGCGCACATCTATGTGCTGAAAGGGGTGCAAAACTGAGCATTTTCTTTTCCAAGTTCAGCGCTGTGCAAGAGGGCAAACGTTACCCCAAAACTCCTCCTTGCAGGACTTCAGGTCCTGGTCAGATGAGGAAGGTTTCCCTATCATACGCAAGCACTTCTGCTGATCAAACATCACAGAACACGAAATAGGTACACCCCGTCCTGCTCCTAAAGCAGCATTGCTAAATGCAACTTGACAGTGCAATGGGACCGCCGGCAACTTTTTCAGTCAGATGCACAAGCAAGATCATTCAACTGTGTGTGTGAGAAGTATAGGATTGTGGGTGAATGCCAGCTGGTGAGAAGTGCTGTGCGGTTGCGAGTTGTGTACAAAGGATTTGGTGCGATCAGCATGGATGCAGCAAGAGGGCTCCTTTCCACTAACCAAATCATTAAGGTGGAGCCCGTTTGAAGTTATTGGGAACCGACTTTGCTGGAGTCCTCCAAGTCAAGAAGAGGGCAGCGCAAGTGAAGGCGCGCATGACGCTTTTTGCGTGCACAGTGACTACGGCAGCCCATCTTGAACTTGTGTTGGACATGGACATGGCGATTGAGAATTACTTGCGGTCTTTCCACCAGTTTGTGACGCATAGAGAGCTGTGCAAAATAGTTTACCCAGTTTTCAAACGCCTGTCAGAAGAGCCTGAGCAGTTCCTTGAGAGGCCCTGCAGCACTCCCATATATTGGCTTATATTGCTCATTCTCATCGCCAAGCACACATTATGGCGGGGAGGGTTTTACAAGCAACTGGTTTATGATGTAAAAGAAGAGTGACCAAGAGAGTAAGCAAACACCTATGCCTCGGCTTCGTTCGGCCGCCGATGTTCCTAGTAGAAGATGCCGTCAAACTTGAGGCCTCTCACCCATGTGCACTACAACGCCCAATGACACCCCCTTCCTCTCCCTTTTACATCAGCCAGCATCCTGACTTGGAAGCCGCTAACTGCTTCGCTGGCAGCGGGTAACAGAGTGCTCAAACCAGGAGGGAATTGTTTGCAAACACTCTGGAGAAACACAAAGCAAATGCTAAGTGCATTCTAGCAGATCTGGCACAACCAGTAACTAGAGCAGCTGAACTCAGCGTATGAAACTAAGCTGGCCAATGGGAGGGAACCGGGGATCAGAAACGTGTTCCTGCTACAGCCAAATCTCCCGCGACTGCTGAGAATGAACAATGTCATTCTTTTCGCCCTATCCAAGCAAAGATCCAGGAAGTACGATTGTGTCTGAAGTCAGGAGACCGTAGCAAAGAAATGTAAAGTGTCCGCTCTGTTCAACGACTATACCCCGCTGCATGTGGCTGAACTGTAGAATGAGCAGGTTCACTTAGCAAGGCTGTGTTGTAACCTCGCCTTCTCTGCCTCCCTCTCTTTGCCTACCTCCATGGTCAACACTGTTTCCTTTCAAGGTCGGGGGAGAATACGACTGCGGTAGCAGCGCTTTGTCGGTAGCGGGTGCATTTCTATTGACAGATTTATGGGACCGAGGGCCCGCAACTCACAGGAGAGAGCCGCCCCCTCGCTGAGAGAGCCGCTGATAGAGCTGAGAGAGCCGCCCCCTCGAGGTGCAAACATCAGCGTGAAGATGCTTGCATTCATAAGACTCAAAACGACAGGCTAAGTGTTTCTTCATTGTCCAGCCCCTTTTGTATTCCAAGCCAAAGCCTCTTTGTCGTTCTTTGCATTGATAAACAGTTCACCATCGATGACAGGATGACAGTCTGCGCCAGTGTGCGCTGTGGCACTAAACATGCAAAAATTTCTATGCCAACAAGCTCAAAACGCCATCTGTTTATCAAAGTCATTCCCTCTGTAACATAAGTTCATCACTGTCATAAAAAAATTAAGTCTACAAAATAAATTTTCTTGGTGTTAATTTATAGCACTTTAGCCTTCAGAGCTTTGACGCCCTTAAAGTGTAAAAACACAACTGCGCTTGCAGAATGTGAATATTTAATTTTGTTTTGGAACCGTACAAAAGAGTTGTATTGGTAATCCAAAAAAAAAAAGTCAAGCTCGAAGAAGTACTGTGGATTGGGCAAGTTAGTGCATGACCAAATCATAAGGTTATAGCGCATCTCTGTTTGAGCGAGAATAAGCCAGTGATGAAGGGAATCATGTCGTCTGTATTTCCCTTCTTCACTGGCTTATTTTTCTTCACGCTCAAACAGACCAGCACTATAACCTTACGGTTTCATCAAGCTCGAACACTTAATATAATAAAAGCTTCATTGAAATCTTTTCTTGTGGTTGAAGAAAACCCTTTGCTAGGACTGTATGTAAAGCCAACAAGCCAGGTTGGACACATAAGGAAAATTGAGATTTTGCTGAAATATGACGCTGAACCAGTCCTGCCAGCACTGGGTAAATTTCCCTAGATCTAGAGAACTTTGCCTTTACTTAAGGGAAAAGAAAAATTTGTCAACATCTAGGGAAATTTTTCGCTTCCACCTGAAGCAAGTCGATAGACCGCGAGACCTCCCGCCGACAACTTTGTTTTCGTTCTTTTTTTCCATTTTTTCTCTTTTACATCCCTTCTACACTCACCCAAAAGCGCTGTGCCATGTCCAGTAGCGGTTCCGAAATTGCAAAGGGGCCACGGGCCGATCTCCGCCCCCCAGCGTTGTCAGGCTCCCTCCTTCATGGTATCAGCACTCTTCTCTCCCCCACTTCATTGCGGTTCATTCTGTGCTGGCCGTGTGCGACGTCAATTGCCTGAATCCCAGTTCGAACCAAACAAAATGTGCCCTCTCTCGAGTACGCCAAGTATATGTTTTCCTTTACACAAACCTCCCAGTTTCTCTCCTTTCACCCACAGTTATTTATTTCTTTGGTTTGTTGTTGTTTTTTTATCGGTTTCTCTTCTTCGCGAACGCTGTCACCTTGCTAAGGTGCTCCCCTGAAGCCACGTGGTTCCGCCAAGGACACCAAGGTTTCCGTGAAAAGCGCGGCCAGAGCAGTAGGCTGCATGTATATGCAGCTATTTGCACAGCTAAAAAAAGTTGAAAAGAAAAAAAGCTGAAAAAAAAATTGGCTAGTGGAAGACTGGAAGTACATATTTGAAACGAATATATGGCAGTCAATATTTGTAATAAACATATCTTTTCCTAACCATTCAGCAGGTTGCGAGGGAGGAACTGCCAACTGGCATATTATATGCTTTCATGGTTAAACTATTTTCCGTCACAATATCCTCTATTATATATCAAGACAAAGCTATAGAGTACGTTTTTCAGAACATTGTTAATAAGTTATGTAAGTGTGCATCACTTCATGTTTTATATGAACACCACCAAGCATTTTCTGCAATATACCAGAATTGATGAATTTTTTAAGCTTGCTCGCCGGAATATTTCCCGTACTGTGCTTTATATGCTCGTTCTGGTTGTTGTTGTTGTTGTTGTTGTTATTATTATTATTATTACTATTTTGTAACTTGCATGCTATTGCAAGTGCAGAGTTACCTGTATTGTAGTGTAAGATTTTCGTGTTTAGCATTGAACAACTAGCAGTGTTCCGAAATATTATTTTGATAATTTATCCCTTTTTCGGCCTGTATAATGCTTCTTTCTTGGTGATTTTGTATAAAATACTGCAATACAACATACCCTGCCCCCCAGCATGGTGATTTTAGTGAATATTTTAAAACAAATGCACCATTATATCATAAAAGTCAACCTTGAAATCGTTTTCCACAGCACAAACACATTGGTTTTCAAAAAACCACTGTCCATGAAAATCTAGGCAAATCTGGAGAGTTATTTAACTCCAGAGAAGGAAAACGTGGCTCCGTAGGTTGGCAGCACTGCGTCGGACTATCATTTGGATAATCACAAAATGACCTTTCATAAGGTCGTTCCAGATGATGATGATTGCTAAAAAGCCGAGAGACACCAATGCCACCCAAACAAAGTGACTAGAGAAAAGCCGGAACTTATCAAGCTGTACGCCTACATATAACTTCAAAGAAGATTCTGCGTGAATTTTCACGATGACCAGTGCAACAAAGTAGTTTACAAAAAAAAATGGTCAAATGACAACATTACTCACCTGGCATGCACCATGTGCTTCCTTTTCGAAAAGTGGCTTGCCCGTTTGTAGGAAAGGCTGACAGGTACACTAACAGCAGATGTGATGTGTGTGAGTGTAGGTGATGATACAGCACGAAAGCATGGCAATGTCGACTGCTGGGCAGTGAGAACATGAGAGGCCATGTGCTGCACATGAATCCAAAGCTGAATTCCTGCATATCCAATCAGCACACAATGTGGGTCGATCCAGCACCTATGCTGACATCAGCAACCGGGACATTCTTTCATCTTCAATTAACACTGTATGGTTCTAAATCTATTTTACTACTGGCCCGTCCAAAATGTTTTAGCTGATTTTAGGTGTGAAGCAGAAGTACCCCTATACATACAAACAGAGTGCAATCTCTCGTATCGGTTTTCTGAAACCGTGGTACCACACAAAGCATAACCCTGCATGAAACAAGCAGTTTTTCGATCAAGTGGATGCACACATGAAAAGACCTGTTTACTGTGTTGTTTTCAACAATGCTGTCACTGGAGCACTCATCCGATAAGCACTGCTCATTGTTAGAGTTTCCTACAAAGCTACGAGAATCACTCTCACAGAATGCGAGCTGCGTTCACGCTACATGCAAGATCAGCTTTGACTGGCAATATCTTTTCCACCATTGTCTTATTACTTATGCCTCATATGATGGACCTGTCACCTTTGGAGATTGCAATGAGATAAGTGCTGTAGGCATTTGTGCCACTATTAGGGAATAATTGGAGCCAATACGACACCTATCAAAGGGTGCATAAAACAGTGCAAATGACGCATCATTTTGTGGTGCTGTTCGCATGACATGCAATAGCAGAGCACGTAGTGCCATTCTCGGTAAATTGATATCATTATAAATATGTGACAAACAGGTTCAGCCGCAACAACGGCGCATCTCTGCTGCGGCACACGTTGAAAAATCTTTTGTACATTAGCATAAACAAACTCAGCATGCACGAAGTGTGATAAAGTATACTGGTAAATGTTCACTGATGGGCTGAATAGAAATATGCAAACATAAGAAGTAATCTTCCCGTTCTCTGCCATCATTATAGTGTTATTTCATGTACTATTCTTTTTGTAATGGCATTTATACCACTTGTTCTGCCTATTGCACTGTCTTTGCCTCGTTTTTGAAAGTAAAATCAAGTATTTTCTGTATTTTTGCAAACATCATTTATCTATCATTGCATAATAATGATTATGATGTTATTGTTGCTTTTGTCCCCCTTATATAATAATGGCCATGCTCTTTTTGATGCTTTCCCCTCCCCCTTATGTAGTATCCTCAAAAGGGCCCTTAGGGGAAAATAAATGATGATGATAATAATGTCACAACTTTAGCAAGCTGCAGCAAACCTAAATAAAGTGGACATAACCATGTCATACAGTAAACAAACGTCTTCAATAAGCTTAAGTGAGCCAGACTGGTAATCAAGCACTGAACAAGCAAAAATGAAAAAAAAAGGTGTGAGGCCTTTCGGTTTAAGATGTTCCAAAACATCTTTTGCACACCAAAGAGGGAGAATCATTTTCTAGGTACAAGAAATAGAGTCACGGTGGTAAAAAATATAAAATCACACTGTACACACAGAACCAAAGAAAAGTGAGACATATGGTGCTTGACTTGCAACTAGTTCTATTGCACTAAACCTTTCAGAATGAAACCTGGAGCTTTTCTTGAAGGCGACGACACATAGAATCTCTGAAGTTCTTGTACTCCTACGAAAACCTTTTTTCGTAGCTTTCTAATCCTTTGCTTTTATTAATGCGTGTTTGCCTTACACAAACTAGAACTTATCATGCCTCAAACATTAGACCATTCCATCAATGCACTAATAGTCTTGAAAACAGTTTTTCCCCCCACATAATTCAACATTGCAATTTCTGACCAGCTTACGTTTGTTTGCTTCAGTTTCTCAATCCTTAAAGCGCCAGTAATCATCTCCAAGGCCCAAAAATAATTGCAAAGAGAAATATGCGCACGTTTACTTCATGAAAATGCTGCCGAAAGAATTTTTTAAGTATATGCAATAATGATTGATTGATATGTGGGGTTTAACGTCCCAAAACCACTATATGATTATGAGAGACGCCGTAGTGGAGGGCTCCGGAAATTTCGACCACCTGGGGTTCTTTAACGTGCACCCAAATCTGAGCACACGGGCCTACAACATTTCCGCCTCCATCGGAAATGCAGCCGTATATGCGATAATAAGGAAGTTACAGGGGCTAGAACATCGCTTCCAGATGGTTTTAAATTTTTGCGCGGCTTCGCCACCCCTCCTTCAGAGGGAGGGAAATGCATAGCCCCTCATCCTGACTTTTCCCACTTCAACAATGTGACAAGACGTCAGCAATTGACATCATCGGCAAACTCGATCAGCCACAACGCACTTCCGCTTGCTGTGATGCCTAGTTGTTTACTGTTTACCCGGTGCCGATGCTTCTTCTCAGCCCAGTCGCTCGATTTACAGCCGACAACAATTAGCAGCAAAACTGCGTTCAAAAGCCTGGACATGAAGTTGGCCTGATTTTTCGGGAGTTCGGTTTTTTGGGGAGCAGGCTGTCGCTCCATCTGGGGGCCGCAACGCAAAACACAAATAATGCATTTAATTCTGGGTGTGCTGATCGACAGGTGGCAGGACAATCTGCTCCCCCTTAAAAACAGGGCCAGTGACATGTCTGATATTTCAATACATGGAACCTATGGGGAGTTTTGCAACTCTTATGATTGAATAGTTTCGCCCTAGCTGTGGGTGGGAACAGAAACTGTCATTGACTGCACTACTGTTTGTTGAGACCTGGTTCAGACCAATGGACAAGCTGCATGCTGCGTCATGTCGCCGAGTTGGCGTCACTGCACATGTAAGGAGCATTGGTCAGGCGGAGGAAAGGAGCATGGGAATTATTCTTCAAAATCGAGGCTCTGCGCAGTTCTATAATATTCAGAAAACGTGATTGCTGCGGTCTACTATATAAATTCCCGAGCTTGTTTGAGGGGAAGGGGGGGGGGGTGTAAAAAAAGTCAGAGCCTGTTGACTGGCTTTTTTAAGTGTCATTTGTGATGCATACTTTTTTATACGTTCGTATTTTGTGTCCTCAAATATCTGTTCCTAAATATTTCATTTGCTGCTTTCTGTATAATTTCACACGCACGCCCACTCATGCCATAGCCTTCACGGCTGCAGTAAGTGTAAATTAAAAAAAAAATAAGACATGTTGCTTTACTAAGCAAACGGTCTAAAGCGAGAGCGCATGCACAAGAACGATACACTTGTTCAGTTTGTGAGGCACCACCTCGTATATTTCTACAGGCACCCCTGACGGCCTATTTCCTTTGGAGGGACGATTAATTGCTGGCGTTTAACGTCCCAAAACCGCTATATGATTATGAGAGATGCCGCAGTGGAGGGCTCCGTAAATTGCGACCACCCGGGGTTCTTTAACGTGCACCCAAATCTGAGCACACGGGCCTACAATATTCCCGCCTCCATCGGAAAATCAGCCACCGCAGACGGGATTCGATCCCGCGATCTGCCACCAGACCACCAGGGCAGGTTGGCTAACACACATCATTTGCGTGGAGCTGGACTTCGATGGAAAGCACAAGCTGCCGAATGAATCATGTGACCAAGTTGCAGCCGCACAAGCAGGCCGGTGTCCTAATGTGATACTTTTAGAGCACAATAATTCATTTTAAAAAAACTCAAACAAAGCCAAGCACAGTTCACTGTCAGTGTGTGCCGCTTTTCGTTGATATTAAAAAATATTGTTTTTGCGCAATGACAGACACGCAAGATAAGTGGCTCAGGCATTTCACATATCAAGAAACGCACGCGATTGAGTTAGCCAACTTCCCCTGGCATTATCACCAACGGAAATTTGCCTGTTAATCAGGGGTGACTAGGGAGGACACACGAGGCTGCTCCTGACGAAATGACAAGTGTACCGTTTTTGTGAATGAGCATGCGCGCTCCCTATAGGCATATTGCTTAATAAAGACACGTATTTTGCAGTAAAACCTGCTGCAAGTTCCGCACCATGTGTGCCACTTCTATTTTCGTCACGTGTCTAGACGTAAACGTTGTGTTCTTCACCAGTTCGCACAATCTGCCCGTCTTCAACAGTATCACCAAATGGAATCCTAGAAAGTCACTCACCTCCGTCTGTAAAAATGCATGCGTTCCGATTTTCTGTCGATGGCCACACGCTTCGGCATCCCTGCAACTTTGTCATGAAATTCAGAACCGCCTTTCACAACCAGCTGCAGTTTTGAGAGAAAAAGTGACAGTTTCAGGCATGATCACCACGTGCAAACAACGCGCTCTAACCTAGCTTTGTTTTCCGCATTTCCTCCTGCCTGCACCCTTGCTACAAGGTCCGTTCGATTCGCCTGCACCACGTGAACCAGTTCACGAGGTGCTGCACCTTGCCATTCGTTCCAGCGGTGCAGCACTGACGACCGCTGAACCCTGCCATTCGTTTTGAAAGGTGCAGAAGAGGTGCAGCACCTGTTCACGATTTTCCTGCACCTCCTTCGCTGACGGTGCCGGCTTGGTGCAGGCGCGCGTGCAGCTGAGCAGACGATGCAGCACTTAGACGTAGGTGGCTTAGGCGCCGTACCCGCCTCTACAAATGCGGTGTGTTTTGCCAAGATGTTCGCGCCTCATAAACTGTCCGCATGTGCCTTTCGCCATAGGTCAGTGTTTGCTGAACGGTGTAAATTAACCGAAAAGAAATAAAGCCAACACCTGGTCGGCACATCGTCATTTGTTTCGGGTGTCGAGCTGTGCCTACACCGCTGAACTCACGCTGCACAATTTCTGAACTTCGCGTGCACAGCCGTGAACCGGTTCCGACCGGTGCAGGTGAATCGAACGGACCAGGTGAATCGAAGCGCGATAAAGTCCCTCTATCTCACCTTTTTCCTTCCTCCGTGCTCTATCTATATATAGGGACCTTAAAGCGCGAGACAGACGTGCGATTTTCTCGGCGATTCGGCGTGCGGTGCGACGATGCGACTGCCGGAGTGGTGACGTTTAGTGACGTTCCGTGACGTAACATCGCGTCGCACCGCCGCATATCCGGTACTGACTGAAAGAGCCACGCGCCGGCCGCAGGAACTGCTATGCACTCCGGCTTCTCCGGCGCGCTTTTTTTTTTTTTCAGATTTGTTCGTACCTGCCCATAATTCATGTCTAGCACATGATGCCATAACCCTTGAAGTAGGACACGCCAATCTACTGAATTGAAGCTCCATAAGAGTCATTGTGAGCTATCAAAAATTATTTATAAAGGGCGTGTCTTATTCTGATTTCTTCTCTCAACTCTTTCTTCGTTATGCAGGCGTCTAAAATATTAAAAATAACTGAGTCAATTGATTGGAAGCTAGCTGCGCTCAGAAAGCTGTGGGATGAAAAAAATACCATGTCAAATGCACGCAGAACCAGAAGGCCGTAAGTAAAGGGGCAAGGAAGGGAATCTGAACCCCCTACACCACGAAATGTTTGCGTAATTTAACTTTTCAGGGTATACTAAAATATATAGACATACTGACAGCGACCACCAATTTTCAAAGTTAGTCGTTCTGCTGCACCCCCTCCCCTCAAAAAAAAAAAAAAAAAATCCTGGGTAGCCCTGCGCCGAACGTTTACAGTTGACAAAGCTGAATATAGCGTGCCTCTGTACTAATGCGCACTGTAAATTTCACCTTTCCGACAGTATGAGGTCTGAAAACTAGTTCATGTCTAACGTAGACAAAAAATGCACGGCGTAAAATTAGCGGCTTTGCTAAGGCGCATTGCATGGATATTGTCAAGGGGGCGGTGACGTGTGACCTAAATATGACGTGTGACCTAAAAGGGCCTCCCCAATTTGCCGTTCTCCAAACATATCAATCTTCCTGGTCACTCTTTCGAACGCGTAAGTGTCATACTCCTACAATCCGGCTTCCAGAACACACGGGAGCGCGAACAGCGGGAGTCATACTTTATAAAGAAATTCAGATCACTTACCCACGGAATCAACGAGAGCCCTGGGCGACTGACGTGTCTCCGTGACGTTTCGTGAAACACAGAAATTGAATTACTCAATTAATTTATTTATACATACGTGAAGTCGCACACGCAAGTCGGTCAATATAGCGAAACTAAACGAATTCGATGCTACGTGAACCAAACGGATTGTGTTAGTATTATTAGACTTTATTTTCCTTTCTGAGTACTTTTTTAGTATTATTTATTTTTTATATATTTTGATCCTTTACAAGAATACCCATTTATTTATTTTCAGTATGACTGGTTGTACATTTTTCTGCAAGAGAGGGCAGGTGGAGGAAGGGGGAGAGGGCACATTAGCTTTCCAACGTGGCCATTATATTCCGAAAGCTGGAGCGGGTCGTATGCTTCTTGTGTGTGTGTGTGTGTGGCCCGATGCCACGGGCCAGCCGCCGAACCACGTGAACTTAAACTCGATCCATGTGTGGGATGCGAGTAAGCGGCAACATGTTCCACATTTTTCCGTTTTCTTCGTCGCCTCCGCTGGCGGCGCGTCTTACCTATACTAAGTAACAATGCCAGAATTACCCGCTCGTTTCCGGCGGCTCTCCGTCGCTCCTTTCTAGTTCCTCTCCTTCTTCTGCTTCTTGTTGTCTGTTGCTACCTCGTTCGCCCGCTTGTCTTTTTCTCTCTCTTTTTTTTTTTGGAGGGTCTTTAAACTGTGAGGGTGACCCTCTGCTACGGGAACTTGTATCATTTCACTTACATCCTCCGAAGAAGGCTGGTCCACCAGCCGAAACTGTTAGGATTAAATAAATATTTTATTGTTTTGTTTCCTATACTGCACTATTCTCGAAGTTTATAACTTTTATTACGGTAGCCGGAAGAAACTCTGATCATCTATTTCATCTATATATATATATATATATATATATATATATATATATATATATATATATATATATATATATATATATATATATATATATATATATATATATATATATATACATATGTGTGTGTGTGTGTTTACTGTATACATATACAAGTTATATTTCTCAAAACAACATGTACCAACGCGCCTGCCTACACTTTTGACAGCTAATAAAAGTAATAAAAGAACCACACCTATAATAGTAAACATCTTTATAAATTTTCTCGCTTGCAATGGCGTTATGCCAATATAATACTAGGAAAGCATTACAATTTAAGCTATCGATACAAAATGAGAACTGCTTACAGTGAATTTACGCAGAGTAACAGACGGGCTATATATACTATACAATTGACACTCTTTAATATGTTCAAGATAACCCCTTTCGCATAGAGTTCATGAATAGGAGGTACAAGCGTTCTTTCAACTCGGCTCCCTGACTCGGCCTCCTGGAGCTTGCATAAAAGAAGCAAAGTGAGCGCGAAAGCACGCGGCTAAAACAAGAAAGCCTTTCAGGAAGCATTAATTATCTTTCCACAAAACTGAGATCATGAAACTAAATCATCACCAATATAAATGTGGTCACAACGTTACTTATAATCGGGTTTCTCATGAAACAATCGAGGGCGTGTGGACTTATATGAGGAAGAGTGCTCTAGATATAGAAACTGCCGACAAAACTAGCGTATGATTCATTCGTGGTTTTGATACTTCCCTTTTTGTAGTTGGCCAGTGGCCACTTATGATTAGCGCCGCTCAAAGCACTGCTTGAGTGAAAAGCTAGGTGGATTCGTGCAAATTCCGATTGTACTACATGTTTTCTTTTTCATCTTTTTTTTTGCCGGCAGGCTCTTGAAACAGTGAATGTCCCGACGATATTTTTGCGTGTCTGCATATTTACTCGTACACCGTTGCGCTTAACAGGTGTGCATACACTGACAAAGACTCTGAAACGCATCAAACGCGCTAAAAACAAGTAAATACACGCTTTCGCGGGCTACTCGCTAGCGCTCCCAATGCAGATGCTTCTGAGATCTTCAGTACCTTGCGACTCCATCGCCACCGCTACTGTCAACCACCGGAGAGTCAGCCGAGATATGGCGCGGCCACCTCGTTCACTCCACTGCCCCCTTCCAACGTTACTTTAACTAGGTCAGTTTCGCAGCTCCCCGCGCGCGCTGGCACCAAGGAGGATTAAAAAAATTGCTGGAGTGGAAGTGGTTGCGCAGAAGTGAAGCCGTTCCTCTGGCAAGATGGCGGTTGTGTCGGCCATCTTACTAGGGGCATGATAAGGCACCGCCGTTCAGCGATTAAAACGGGGTGGTATTCCCGTACGCCCTACGAGTTTAATGAGGGAATTTTTTCGGGTCACATATTGCTCCAAGTGCGCCTTACAGTTACTAGTTTTTCTTAGTGAGCCTCTAATTTGAGGCAATGTTCTTTGAAGATTCAGTCATCCATACTCGTTTCTGTGTGTTATTTCGTCGGGAACGACTATCCTTTAATATAGAACTAACGCAGCATTTACATAACATATCAAAGCCACCTGATCTTTAGGTGGGCACTATCAGAAAAGAGCATGTTTCCACCATCTTGGCAGTGGCAAAAGCTGGCTTCATTTCTGCTGGCAAGGCATTGCGGGAGCTTCCACTCCAGCAATTTTTCTTTAATCCTCCTTGGCTGGCACGAGCGGCTGACGCGTGAACTAATGGCGCTGCTGTTCCGTCTTGCTTAAGGTCCCTAGATGAAACAAGTTTCCAAGGTAGCGACACCCTCCATTTTCCTCCTCGCTTATTTGCCTGAAGCGCCCCCTAGAAGGTTTAAAACTTTCATCCAAAAGCGAATGTTTGGGTTCTGTTGCTACGGTGAGTAGATGTAAATGAAACAAAATGGAACAAAATAAGACGTAGAATAAACAGTTACCTTTATGAACATAAACGGCACAACACAAGAGCAAGCGGGATGTGCGTTACTCAACCGGCAACGTTGGGCAGTTCTATACTTTACACCACTAGCCATGGCGTCTCGCGTAGTACATTTTAGTTCCACGGCCGTGGTATTTCGTCCAGTTCTATCTAGTCCACTTCGCTGATTGTGTTTTGTTCGTGATGTGACACAGTGAACGTGCTTCTTGCTGGATCCTGTAAGTGGCCACAGGGCGTGACGTTGTGACGATTGATTACGACCGGCTAGTGCACACGCAAGAAAAAAAAAACTACGACCAGACTGGTACGAACACTCGTCCAGCAGCACTGCGATGACGTTTTTTTAAATGTGCCCATTTGGACAATCGTGATGCCAAGTGATTGTGATGCGGTGCTGGGAACTTCCTGAAAAGTCAGAGTTCTACTGGTGAGGTGTCTCAAAGCAGCGCGTTTCGGCTCAAGCGGGAACTGGTCTACAAAGAAATGTTTCTGAAGTTGCGT